AAGATACGCTGGTGTAGGAGAACAAAAGTACAACAGCTCAAAATTTGTGAAACACAGTTAAAGCAGGGTTGGGAGGGAAAGGTGCAGCGCTGTGTGCCTACCTTAGAAAAGACAGAGTTTCCAGTCAAAGTTCCAAGCCCTGCGCCCATCGAGTGAAAGAAAGAAAAGCCTGAAGCAAGAAGAAGGAAGGAAATAACAGAGATGGGGGAGAAATCGATACAATTGAAACAAAAATAATAGGGAAAAATCAATGAAAGAAAAAGCTTGTTCTCGGGCAAGATTGATAAAATTGATTCAGAATCTCTTCAAAGACAAATGAAAAATTAGAGAAGACACAGACTGTCGATAGCAGGAACAAGCCAGGGGCCATCACTACAGCCCCCTGGGCACCGGGAGGCTCAGGAGGAAGCCGCTGTACTACTGACATCTGACAGCCTCCATGAAATGGACCAGTCCTTCAAGAAGCACAAGCTACCCAGAACCCACCTAATCTGAAGCAGATAGTATGAATAGCACTATAACTCATCAAATTGAACCTGTGATTTTGAACTCCCACATCAGAAGTCGCCAGGCCCCGATGTGGAGAATTCTGCCCAACTTTTAAAGAAGAGTCAACACCAATTCTATATAATCTCTTCCAGAAAACAGAGAAGGAGAGAATGCTTTCAGTTCATTTCAACAACCTAGGTATTATCTTGACACCACACAGTATGAGAAAGAAAGCACAGGCGGATATCCCGCACGAGCATAGATAAAAAAGCTTTCAGAAGGTACTAGCCATAGGATTCATATTCTATGATATGAAAGAGTTGCACACCATGACCGGGGGCTGCAGGGGTGTGTGCAGTGCAAACCACCACACCAGCCCAGTGAAGAGAAACAATCAACAAGGGAACGCCTCTGAGAAATTGACACCCTTCCTGAATAAATATCTCTGAAAAATAGCCATAAGCACAGGCTGAGGCAGGAGGATGGCAAGTTTCAGGCCAGCCTCAGCAAGTGAGCAAGGCCCCAAGCAACTTAACAAGACCCTGTCTTAAAAACTGGGCTGAGGATGTGGCTCAGAGCCCCTGGGTTTAATCCCTGGTACTTAAAAAAAAAAGAAAGAAAGAAAGAAAGAAAAGAAAAAAAGAAAGAAATAGCAACAGGGATCCTCTTAATGTGATAAAGAGCATTGACATGACCATGGAGCTAACATCACATACCGTCTTCTCCCCTGAGATGACAGCAAGACAGAGACACCCATTCTCCCTGCTCTGATCCAACAGGTCCCTGGAATTCTAGGCAGTGCAGTAGGGTGGGGAGAAATGCAGACTACAGGGAAGACATGACAGCAGAGGACCAGCAAACCTGCCCCGGCTGGCAGGTGACTTGATTGTCCCTGTAGAGAGTCCTGAGGAATCCCCACCCCTCCCCCAAAAAGCCCTCCTAGGACTAATAATTGAGGTCAGCAGGGTACAAGATCAACACTCAAAAATCAATTGCATGTCTAGAGCTAGCTGTGAATCATTGGAAACCAAAATTAAAAACACAATGCCATTTCCACTCACTCAAAAAAAAATAAATAAAATACTTAGGTGTAAATCTAGCCAAACATGTGCAGGACTTATATCTTGAAACCCATAAAACACTGATGAATGAACTAAAAAAAAAATAAACCCTAAATAATAGAAAGGCATATTGTGTTCACAGATGAGGAGATTCAACATAGTAAAAATGTCTATTTTCCCCAAATTGATATACAGACTTCTTGCAATTTCCATCAAAATCCCAGTAAGGTTTTCTAAAAAGCTAAAATTTATATAGAAAGGGAAAGGAACTAGAATAACTCAAACAATTTTGAAGAAGGATAATAAAGTGGGAGAACCAGTCTACCTGATTTGAAATTTATTATAGAGCTACAGTAATCAAGACTGTATTGTCAGAGGAATGGACATAGGAATAGATCAGCAGAGCAGAATAAGAATAATAATAATGAAAGAGAAATTGAGCTGCATAAATATGCCCAACTGACTTTTTGACAAAGGTTCAAAGCAATTTTTGTAGCAAAAGTGCAGCCTTTCAACAAAGGCACTGGGGCAAGTGACTTCCATTGCCAAAAGCAAAACTGAGAGTTGACACCTAAACCTCACACCTCACATGCACAAAAGTTAACTCAGATGCAAAACAGGCTTGAATATGAAACGCAGAACTACACAGCTTTAGGGGAAACCCGTAGGAGAAGATGCTCCGAATCTAGGACACGAGAAGGAGTTTCTAGACTTGCACGAGTCACACAAGAAAAATTGATAAGTCTCACCTCATTAAAATTAAAACTTTTTACTATGTAAAAGTCCCTGCTTGTAATAAGAGAATTAGAGAACACTGGCCGTAGACCTGGAGAAGATATTTGCAGCAACAGATCTGTCAAAGGACGCACATCTAGAATGTAGAAAGAACTGAGTAAGAGTAAAGACTAAGAGTGAAAAAAAAAAATCCAATAACAGTCCAGTTGGGAAATGAACAAAAGACATGAGAGACAAATCACCAGAGAAGATAAACTGATGGCAAATGACACACCACCAAAAAACGTTCACCATCGTTATCTACCAAGGAAATGCAACTGAAAACCACGACGAGACATCTCTGTGCTCCTTTCAGAAAGCAACCATAAAGAATGCCGGTGAGGACGCGGACGTGCTGGGTATGTCCCTGCTAGGAAGTAAAGTAGCACAGCCATCCCAAGAGGGTGCAGGTAAACATGCAGCCCGCCTTCACCCAACATCAGTGCTCCTGGAAATTCGCCCCAGAGCCAAGGAAACATGGACACAGGAACACCTGTTTGTGAATGCTCAGAGCACTGGCTTTATGATGGTCCAAGGTGGGAGTCGACCCAGACGCCCTTCAACAGAACTTTCCTACAGTGAAATACTACTCAGCAGTGAAAAAAGAACAAGCTGTTGACATGGATTTGAATGAATTTCCAGAGGAATTATGCTCAGTGAAAAAAGCCAATGCCCAAGGGCTGCGCACGAAACAATGCTCTTGAGATGACCAATTCCAGAACTGCAGACCAGATGGGTAAGTTGTTGCCTGTGCCACAGATTAGGGGGAGGGAATAGATGGGAAGAGCAGGAGAAAGTCAGTGTGGCCCCGGGGTCCTGGCAGTGATGGAAATGTTCTGTACCTTGACTCAGTCACTGTCAATATCAGACTACAACTTGAAGATGCTATCACGGAAGGAAATCGTGTAAAACGTACACGGGGACTTTGCTTTTTTTCTTCCTCCTGTATGTGAATCTACAATTATCTCAAAACAAAGAGGCTATTTTTTAAAAAAATCATAAACAAACAGAATCAGAACAACATTCTCAGTGTGAGTTAATGTTATTTGATGCATAAGACCTAAAACCCTGCCCTGGCCATGGGCACCTGGCCCCTCTGGAAGAAATACCGGCTCTCACAGGCCATTTTCCTCCACCCCATTTCATTTGTGTCAACTCACTTTTTGTCCACATACACTTGTGTTCAAAGGCAGCTTGTGTTGCTACCATACATGGAAACGCTTCAGAGCGGCTGCCAACCAGAAGTCATCACAAAGAAGGCACAGCTAAAGAGACACACATGAGGAGCCAGCACACAGGGGCCAGCCAGCCCTCAGGTCAGGGCCCCCACCCCATGCCCAAGCTACAGCTGCAGAATTTTCTCAGTGTGAAGTTCCAGAATGGTTTGGCCCCTCTGCCGCACCACCCTAGCAAGGACAGCAAGGGAAGTAGAGCCCCAGGCCTGGGAGACAGGACCCACCTTTGCCCCTTGGCTACCTACAACCCCTGTGACCTTGAACAAGTCACTTCTATGCGCCCTGCTGTTTCCCTTTTCTCACAGTGGGCTCTCGTTCCTTTGTTGAAGATCAGAAGAGTCACAGATGTGAATATTGGCACAGGGCGGGCTCCCCGTGAGTCTGCCCCCTCATCAACCCCCTTTTCCAGCTTTGGTCTCTGCGGACATGCTGCTGCGCTGCCTGCCAGGAGAAAGGTCTCTCTGGCTGCTGACCCCTGGCCCCTCGCCGTGAGCTCATTTCCCCAGGCAGCTGTGCTGCAGTCAATTCGGTCCTTTCAGGTTGCCCTGCTCACGTGGAGCACCCCCCCCCCATGACTGGCCCCATCCCCAGTTTCCCAGCCCATCCTCATGGCTTGGCTTCTGGGGTCTGCGGTTGGTATGAGCCTGTGGTCCTGAATACAGAGTGTAGGTGGTTCCAGGCACATTCCTTCAGACCGGCCCTGATGCTGACACTTCGTCTCCCCACCAGCCATGGTAATCGTCCTCTAGGTTGAATCCTGTCCTCACTGCATTTCAGCAGATAAGATCTCTGGTGTCACTCTTACAGAAAGATTTGCTACGGGAAAGGAGAGACATGTTGCCACTCAGAACCTGGCTTCCATGGCTTATCTGAGATTCTCTCCAGCCCTCAGCTATTTTGGAGGCTGGGAAGCCAAATATGTGTATAAATACATGGTTCCTTGGCCCCTGTAAATCTCACTAAAAAATGCTACCCTTGGGTGACTGATTGGCGCAGCTGCTATAAATAGCATGTCTATCAAATACCTTGATAGTCAGATTATACTCTGTTTAAAACTCTTGTGCTAATATAATGTATGTTGTTAACCAATTCACATCTTCAATGTAATTAGGTCCATCATTGGGGGAAAAAAATACAGCTTATAAAGCACTAAATTTCCTTACAAATGTATTCGAGTTTAGCAGAACATGGATTGTGAGCCTGGTTTCTGACAGCCATTATAAATTGCAGTAAATATTTTGACAAACACAACAGTGGTGGTAGGCACACAGGAGAATTACTGAACTGGGTCAGACCCAGTTTTCACGTAGCATTTCTTTTTAACTGTGGGTTTGGAGACAAATATATCATTAAGAACACAGGGTAAAAGAGCTTGTTGGTTAAAAATAAATAAATAAATAACTGGCCCCTTCTGTATCTGTGCCCTGGGGCAGTCACCTACCTTCATAAAGAGAGGTGCATTTCCAACCAGAGACACACCCGTTCAGACCCAGACGGCCTGGCCCAGTCTAGAGACAACATCCACAGATCCAGAAAGGACCCCAGGCTGGCTGCGCAGAGGAGAACTGAGCTCCAGGCGCCTCGCCACACTCTGCAGGGGACTTGCTCCTCTTTGCTGAGAAGGTATCTGGTGTTCTCTACCAGTTCCTGCTCCATGGGCAGCATCTCAGAGCACAGAGAGGTTCCAAGCACCTTAGAAAGTAAAATAAAAGAGAAGGGCCTCCCAGTGCTTGTCCTTTGAGTCAACTCCATGTTTAACTGAGAAAAGCACCATTTTGGGTAACCTGGAAGAGACTCGAGCAGAGATGAAACTTGTCGGGTTCAGAAAAAGGAAGTCAATTATTGTCTATACGTTACTTTATGTGACAGTAGCAACCCTTAGAAAACAGGAAGAAAGAGAAGCAGAGACCTAAAAAAAAAAAAAAAGTACAGACACAGCTCAGATCTTTAGAAGTGTGGCTATTGATCTAACAACCTATGAATGGAGGCTGCTTCCCGGGAAGGTAGGTGTACAAAATATTGCATTAGAGACGAGACTGTTCTGCACAGGTTAGTAAGAAGGAGAGCCAGGGTGTGCATTTCCCTGGAGATGGGGTTAGCAGAGCCTCCACTGTAACTCTGGAGGTTCCCAAGGGCCCAGAATGAGCATTTCCATTGCAGGTGGCTAGGCAGGGGATGGGGAGCAGCCATGGTCACTGGGATGCTGACTTTATTAATAATTTTGATGTTGTGCTCAATATAAATTTATTTGCATTGATTTCTATTTTAAAACTTTGTACTGAGTTATGATCTGAAGGATGAGCCTCTGCCTTTAATTGTGCTCTCAAGGGGAGTCTCTGCCTCTGCTGCTGGCTGGGCTCTACTTGCTGACCTTGGAAGGACTGAAGACGCGAAGGACAGAGTCAGAGAGTTATGAAAAGGGGAGATGATACCAGAAAGGGGGGACAGGGTCTCCCAAGCAGCTGCCAAGCCCACTCCCCGCAGGACCTGGCCAGTTGTTCCCTGGCCTTTACCAAGGACATCCTCAGGAAAGAATCTGTCTCCAGAACTTTAAAAGACTTCCGTTTGCCTCTCCTTCTAAGTTTCACTGGGAATGTACTTCATTGAAATGAATTAATGGAAAGGTTTCCTGTACAAAGCTACTTTATAAACAAAGACTTTGGAGTGGTCTGATTAAAAACAAAGTATCAAATATGGACCAGAAAAGAAGAATGTGGGCTTCCGGTAGGCAGGACAATCTTGAGGCAATAAGAGGGGGACAATCTTGAGGCAATAACAGGGAAACCTTGAGAAAGTGACACCAGAGTCATACCTTGTAATTCTATTTCGATGAAATGTCACAAGAGGCAGATCTGTAACAACAGAAGATAGAGCAGTGGTTGCCAGGGTCTGGGCATTGGGGGGGGTGGGGCAAGCCGAAGCATGTGCTGGAGGGCACATGTTTCCTCCGGACTCTTGAAAGGGCTCTGGAGCAGATCACCATGAGGATGTGTGGCCGCGCTAACCACTGACTGCACTCTCACATGGTGCACTTTCGAATGGTCTTGTGAGTTGTGGCTGAGTATTAAACAAATGTACCCTCGATGTCTCTAAGCACCACGATGCAGTTTGACCGACACAGAATGCAACAGATAGCCAGAGAGTGGAACGTCAGGCCACAGTCACCAAAAAAAAAGAAAAATTACTTTCAAAGAATCAATTCGCTTTCTCAGGCCTCTTTTTCTAAGGAAACAAACAAACAAAAAAAGATAAATAACTTTCTTGCCAAGAGCAAGGCTCTTTGGCAAATTGCAGTCTGTGAAGCTGCTCTTTAAGACAAAACTCTGATGCAGCTAAGTGGACAAGCAGCCAAACAAGAGAGGACACCAGACCCTGTTGGGAAGCACACGGGTGGGAAGAAGGCACACTCAGACAGGCCACAGAAGCCTCGCGGCCTCACACCACGTGCTGGCAGGAAGCCAGCAGGCAGATGCAGGATACTCCCTTGTCTTTGGGGGGAGTTCAGGGCTCGGTCCCAGGACCTTCCCCAGTGCCACATGTGCAACCAGGGGGCAGAAAGTCACCAGCAGAGCCTTGCCAAACGGAGTCACCTGGCATGTTTGAAAGGACAGCTGGGACAAGGGCCCAGCACAGCCTCACATGCAAGCAGGGAACTGTGTATCACCTCTTGCTGCCTGGGCAGCCACGTGGGTGACAACGGTCAGACACATCTCCATGGCTCCTCCAGGGCTCAGCCCTGTCGCCACAGCCTGCTGCTGACCATGCTCTCCCCAGAGACTGGTCTCAAAATATGTGATAAATAAATGAGCAGGGTGGAGGAGGATGAATGTCCTTGTTCATTTCAGCATGAGCCTAGGGGCCACAGCCACAATTAGAGGAATTGAGACCTCCCAAGTCTCTCACGACAGATAACCATTGTTCCCATGCTCAACATATGGTTCTGCTTCTGGATCCCTGCCCTTGCCCTTTACCCTCTCACCAGCAGCGTGAGCGCCTGTCTCTGCCCAACACACACCCGTGTGCACTGCACCCCCTCACCTCTGCCAGGCACAGTCAGCCCTGGCCAGACCCCTGCCTTCACTGACCCAGCCTGGGGAGCCTTGCAACCTACACAACAGGTGGAACCTGCCTGCCCGTGGAGGGAGGCCAGGAAGGCTCCAGGCCCTGGTCTACACTCCACGGAGGAGTGCTGGTCTGCCTGCACACGTACACTCACTCAGCTTCACCTTCAGCTGGTTCCCTCTGGGGGTCTGGTTCCCCTAATGGCCTCTGCACAGGTCCCTCCATTGTCAGAAGAGGCTCCCCATCACTCCTGCATGAGGAAAAACGGCATTGTACCTGTTGAGCCCCTTCAGGAAGGAGCACTCGACAGAGGCTGTCCTTCTCCTTCTGTGCATATGGAAATGTGGAACTGGATGAGCACCCCTGCGATTATCTGGCTGCACTTCCCATCCTTCGGGCCACTTAACTGATGCTTGTTTTTACTTAAAGCTTCGTGCATCCAGCCACTTTTTGATTTGTCTATGGTAATGGGGGTCAAGGATCAGCTGAATAATTGAAATGGAAACTTCATTCCCACTGAGGTTTCTCTCCTCTCCACCTCCTGCCTTACCCTCAAGCTCCCAGGCCAAAAGAGGGTCACTATAGGGGCATAAGGGGTCCTGGGCTGTACGTCCCCATCCCTACACACCCCCAGGACTTTGCTTCTAACTTGTGGGGGGGCGGGGGTGATAAGTGAGCCCTCCGCTCCCTGTGGCTTTGCTCTTAGCCCAGCTGTGTGCCATCTCCATTCATATTTATGACACTTTCCTTCGAATTGACTTGCTTTTATCGTTTAATTTGCCCCAAGCTGTAGTACTAGTTGATATGATAATAATATATTTTTGTGGTATCCATTAAAATACCTCGGTAAGTATTGCACTTCTTTTAAAAAGCTATATCAAAAGGCATCAGTGAGCCCAGCTTGCCTCCTAGAGAAGGGCAGCATGCATGAAAGACAGAGACACGCTCCAGCCTGGCGGCCGCTGACCCATACACTTCTCAGCCATGACAGATGCCCCTCGAGGGTCAGGGGGTGAAAGGGATGTGGGAGCTCCTCACACACTTTGCAGCTTTTCTGTAAATCTAAAAGAATTCCAAAATAAAGTTGACCAAAAGGAGGACCAAAAAAAATAAATAAATAAAACAAAACAAAACCCAGTGCCTCTTCAAGTTAAAGAAAGAAGGTAAAAAGTGAAAAGGAAACAATAACACAAAAGCCCTCCTGGGGTTTGCCCACCAGTCTCGGGACCAGATTGCACTCTGAATTTTTCGACAGGTTAAGCAATGGGACAGGCTGCAGGCTGCGTTTGGGCTGGGTTCCTGGCCCAGACCCCCCTCTGGGGACAGCTGAGGGAGGAAGCTGAGTAACGGTGCTCCCTGTGGCCTTTACCAGTGGCTCAGTGGGCACAGGACGGACAGGACTCTGCCAAGACGCTGTCCTTGCGACTGCAAGACAGTGTCCCCCAAGCTGACCACTCTCACCTTCTTTGCCCTGCTGCCTCCACTCCTCTCCCAAAACATCAAAGGCCATTTGGGAAATAAATACCCCAGGGCCCTTTTGGATCAGTTCCTGTCACGTCAGGGCCACAGAGCTGGCTCTATCAAGCCGGCTGTGGGGGGCAGCAGGCCTGGCTGCGGCACTCTTGGGAATGGATGGGGTTTCTTGTGCCTGACAGTCTTTCCGCTCTGGGAAGGGCTCCCTTCAATGCATTCCTGAGTGACCGCTGTGGGTCCAGCTCTCACAGCACACCCTGTGCTGACAGTGCCCAGGTGACCCCGGGAAAGCCAGTGGCAGGCCAGGCATTATGTGTCCCTAAAGTGGACACACGATGTTGCTCCTGAGCTCATGACCACACGACCTTTAACCCCAGAGTTAAAACCAAAGCCCTTGCTGCCACCTGGCCTGAGCTTGTTGCTGCCGCCCGCTGCTCTGTAGGTCCATTCTTCAGTCCAGAAGGAACAAGTCGTATTTTAACTATAATGACCAAGGCTGGCTCCCCTATCTCCTCCCCCAGAAGTTCCCTAAGTAAGGAGTTTGTTTTCTTTCTTTTTTTTTTAATTTTTTAATTTGTTTTAATTAGTTACATGTGACAGTAGAATGCATTTATGTACTTTGATATATCATACATAGGTGGGATATAATTTCTCATTTTTCTGAGTGTACATGTTGCAGAATCACATTGGTCATATAGTCACATACATACATACAGTAATAATGTCTGTTTCATTCTACTGTCTTTCCTATCCCTACATCCCCTTCCCTCCTCTCCCATCACTTCCCTCTACCTAATCTAAGGTAACACTATTCTTCCCTAGTACCCACCCACCCATACCCACCCCTGCCTTATTGTGAATTAACATCTGCATATTAGGGAAAATATTTTATCTATGGTTCTGTGGGATGGGCTTATTTCCCTTATCATGATATTCTCCAATTCCAACTATTTACTGGCAAATGCCATAATTTTACTCTCCTTTTAAAGCTGAGTAATATTCCATTGAGTATATATACCACATTTTCTTTATCCCTTCATCTACTGAGGGATACCTGGGTCAAATGGTGGTTCCATTCCAAGTTTTCTGAGGAATCTCCGCACTGCTTTCCATAGTTGATGCACCAATTTGCAGTCCCACCAGCAGTGTACGAGTGTGCCTTTTCCCCCACATCTTCACCAACATTTATCGTTGCCTACTGTATTCTTGATGATTGCCATTCTGACAGGAGTGAGATGAAATCTTAAAGGAGTTTTGATTTGCATTTGTCTAATTGCTAGAGATGTTGAACGCTTTTTCATATATTTGTTGATTAATTGTATTTCTTCTTCTATGAAGTGTCTGTTCAGTTCCTTAGCCCATTTATTGATTGGGTTGTTGTTGTTGTTGTTATTATTATTATTATTATTATTATTATTTGGTGTTAAGTTTTTTGAGTTCTTTATATATTCTAGAGATTAATGCTTTATTGGAGGTGCATGTGGTAAAGATTTTCTCCTAATCTATAGGCTCTCTCCTCACATTATTAATTGTTTCCTTTGCTGAGAAGCTTTCTAATTTGAATCGATCCCATTTATCGATTCTTGATTTTACTTCTTGTGCTTTAGGGGTTTTCTTAAGAAAGTCAGATCCTAGGCTCACATGGTGAAGATT